TTGCTATACAGAGGGCGCAAGTAGGTATACGTAGTGCAGTAGGGCTTTAATATCGGGTGCACTGATACAAGACATACTCCTTAGCGTAAAGAAACTTAAAGTGTGACCTTGATAATAAAAGAAAATACGATTCTGAAATGGTCTTTATAACCATTTACACAATGAGACTGATTGATTATCTCTTGTGCATAACAGTATCAACATGAAGTCATAGGCTTCAGCCTAATAACTTGTTGGCATCAAGAAGGAGTCCCTGTGCAGTACACATCGTCTATCCATCAGAGTACCAAGGAGAAGACAGTTTTGTGTCTGATGGACGTGAGATCTGTGCACTTGCTGTGTGGCTTTCAAATTGACGTACATGACCTCTTCCTCACTGCCTCAAGTGACATCACTTTACCCTATGTGATGAGTACAATGCAGGACAATTTAAAGGTACTATTAACCTTTCAAATAGCAATAAAACGGTTCAGTTGCCATACATATTTTGCCTCGAATGCTTTGAAAGAATGAACTGGAATATCCTAGCGAAAATGAGCATCGTTTAGTTTAATAAACATGAATTTCCTATTCGTTTTTTTTTTTTATAGTTTATCTGATATTTTGGTGTGTTTCGAGGTGTTTGTTTTTTGGTTGCTGTTATTTTTTTGCGTTTCTTGTTCTTATTTTGGACTTCAAAGGAAAATTCATGGAACCGCAATAAAACATAGTAAACCTCTGTTTTTAGCATCATTTTAGTTCAGAACAAAGGACATGTCAACCTTATGTTATCTGATCTCACATTAGAGTTTCAAAGAGGTATCAACGAGACGCTTGATACCATTTATTTAATAAATGATGCTTTCAATGCGTCATTGGAATGCATTATCGTCGTTACGGTCGTGTCATAATATAATGGAGTGAATAAAACTAAGAGGAACATCATGCAAAAGATGTTTGAAAGCGTTTGAAGAACAAAATACACGTTAGAGTAAAATGTGCAAAGTATTACCCCTCCAAGTCAACGCGGTAGAAAAAGGCCGAAAACAGAAGACTTCTATCTAACTGTAAGGTGTTGAAACATGGAGAAACTTTTAGAAACACCCGACACTTCAATATATTCTCAAGGCGGCAAGGATGAGTATACAGTTCATGTTCATACTGTAAGTTAGACTAAAACATTAAGCAAAGCGTAATACGAGGAGTATAATACACTTAATAGATGGTATCATTCGCTCAAGTTCAGTACCAGCAAAAAAAGTCCCGAATAGTCTTGAATTGTAACCGCTCTTGAAAGACACCAACTCGCAGAGTATACTTCAAATCTGTCTGTAAAGGTCACCCAAGGAAAACAGGAAAACTGGCCACTGTAGACAGGTGACTTTGTAGACAGGTCCTATACAATACTCATTTTTTTTTACACGTTGGAAACAATAGAGGTGACCACTATCGATAGGTTGCCTCTATATAGAGGTGGCCGCTATTGACAGGTTTCCCTGTAGGTTTTATAAAACAAAGTGTTTATGAGTGCATTTACGGAATATGCCTTACAGCAGGTTTACTTCGAACCATCGGGTCATCGCGTCCGGTCGGTCGCGTTACACGACCTTTCGTAGACTTTCCGTATGGTTTTCACAAAGTGTTGGGTAAATTGGACCAGACCATTTGTAGATGAGAGGGGTCCATTCCTCAAATATTACCCCCGACATTTCGTGAGAAAAGGGACGTTTTTTCACAAAAGGTTGGGTAACGCGACCACCCGAAACGACGCGGTGACCCGATGATTCGAAGTAAGCCATACAGCAGGTTAAGTCACATTAAGATAATTAACGAGACTTGTCGAGTTCATTGTTCGTCTCATTGTGACTTAACCAAGTGCAGTGAATATAATTAATGCACACACTAAAAAATTGTGTTAAAAGACAGGTCTACAATGTGAGTTTAAAGTCGAGATATACAAACCTGATCTAAAACCCAACAGTCGCACAATCACGGAGTCTGCCATATACGTACGATACATTGGACTACGTCATATCTTGCAGCGCGCGCACCGAAAGTGTAAAAATATTAACACCATTGATAATGAATTGAGGTATTGAGGGTTTGATCTATAAAAAAACAAACAGTTACATCCCAGGCATTTCATGATGATAATCACGATAATTGTCTTTTGTTTTCTTTGGGGTAATAGGGTACAGATTCTGTTTTTATTTTCATGATTCCTAAAAGTCAAGACCAAATTAAGTGTAGAAAACTCATGATGGGGCGAATAAGAAGGAGATAATCCTGATCGCTGCTTTGGCTTTGATGGTACCACTCGAGTTTGAAGCGCTGCAACATTTCTCACAAGGTCAATCATAAGAGCTAGTCCTCGAGTTCTGAGGCTCTTGGCCCATATGAACACATAACACCCGGGTTTGCTTATGTTCCGTCGGCTCTGCTCACTTGTATTTAACTAGAACACTTAGCCTTTGTGTCAATACTTAGTGGGTCAGGCTGTGATAAGGTTCCATAGCAGCAAAGACTTCTCCTTTCTCCCATTGTCCCACTCCTTTCCCACATCTATTCTGTCATCCAGACCCTGCAGCTAAAACTATGTTCCATCTCGTAGCTGCATGAACAAATCCTTCGCCATGCATATCTCTGGGTCTGAACAATCTTAGCCATGTAGACTATTCATTACCAAGAGCTTGTACTGTATTTTTTTTTTTGCAGTTTTGTATGGCAGCTTCAAAGGATTCGATGTAATTTTTGCCATTCATATTCCAATTCAAATAATCAGTTTGACATATTGTTTTAGGAAAAGGGCCTTGATTTGTATTTTTTTAGTCATGCATCCACGTATTGAAATTTTATCCTGTCGGCAGACGAATCATCCTATCATAATTATAAAGCGACTATATTATGTTCCTGGTACTGCATGCACATAAATATAGGAGACAAACGAAGACTGGGCACAAATACTTAAATATATTTGAAGAGGAGAAGGAAAGGTTAGAAGAGAGTATTTGAATCAAGACTGTTTCTACTGAGTAAATTTAACAATCACGCGTTATGTTTACAATAAACGAGGTTTTCGCAAGATGTACTTACCATTTCACTATTTATTCAGAAGCGTTCATCCACAAAAGGCAGTCAAACATCCAGCTCAAACAGAGTCTGGAGAGTGATAAGTCTACATAGAATGTCTCTTTCTCAATGCTAAAAAGAAATAGGTGTCTCTTCCCTTGGGAGAATTCATGTTAAGCTGTTTCCTAATAGCTTTATCCTTTCTGAGGACAAAATCTTTATATCAATCTTTAGATTTCTTTACGAAAATACACGATGCATTCTGAGAACCGAAGGTATTAACGAAGGATAAACCACATTAAAAAGTGTTCTATTTGTCATGATTCAATGACATCACGGCACTATCGGTGATTGTTCGAAAACAAGATTAAAGAACATGAAAAGGACATGTTTAGAATAGCAATGTGGTTGTATGACGGTGAGAGGCAGACGCAGAAAACGAGAGAATAACAGATAAATAGAGACAGAGGAAATGAGAGGAAGGGATAGAAAGAGGAAAAACAACTCTGAACAGACTAAACATAAATCATCTACACGATCTATGAAAGATGACTTGATACACCATGTTTGAAGGACCCTGAACACATCGACTGGTGTCTTCCGTTTAGGAAGTGCCCTTTCCACTTAGTCACATAGGGAATATATCCCGTCAAGAGAGGATGAGCAGACACGACTATGATTGCAGAAATATTAACACCATCAAAAGATAAATATTCCACTCTATCACATCTACTGCAAGACTGTCACTCCCATTCTTCAGCCGATTAGAAAGGGGACGATGCCCTTCTCGCTTGGGAAATCTCTTTCAAAATATCAATTCCGAATTTGAAACGAACCGCGACCGACTTAAGAATCTTAAGATGAACATGATTTTCAAGACATCTCCCAGACTTCTTAGAGGCCTTAAACTCGAGATGCAACAAATGGAATTGAATGAATTCCACCCCAGTATCATCTCAGTTCGATGATCTGTGTTCTCGTCCACATTCACCCGTAAGGCACGTAACTTTTCATTCCCAAGATTTCGCAACTCAATGATATCGTCTAGTGACTTGCAGATGTGTATGATTGTGATAGAAATGGTACTGTACTGCGCTCATGAACATGTAGTGCTCTTCTAACCTCTTTTAGTCACAACATAATACTAACATATTCGTACTTTGTAAACAAAAGTTGTTCTTGACAACGGGAAAGCTTGCCTGAGTCTTGCCCGACATAGCAACAAGTAATATATGAAGACTGGATTCCAAGTATTGTAGTTATTTCATTAATAGCAGGCTAATGAATTACACCCTACTCCACGTTGGGAAAATGGCTCGATTAAAGACACAATGACATTTATTATCACTGTAATAAACATTATTTTTAAAGAAAAATCCTGCAACCGCACCCTACTTTTTCCGCCTCGTGCCTGCCCTTTAACAATTTGGTATTGAGAGTGATAAGCATTATAGACCATACAGAATTTATGATCTAAATCTACATTTTATTTTTATAAAACGCAGTTGCTTTATCACTCAATCATTATAATTTAAAACTTGTCACATTGACGTAAAAAGGACAATTATTGCTTCAAAAGCAGATTGTATCCCTAGTGTGAAATTAACACCCCCCCCCCCCCCCCCTCCCCTCCTCCAAGTCGTGCTACTACGGAGCCGTCCGTCCAAATAAACATGAAACACATTCGTTTCAAAATCGATGAGCCGAACTACAGCTTCCAGTGCGAACTTTCTTGCGGTTATTCAAGTTCTATTCCTTCATCATTTCCCGTAAATACAGGTATCCTCCCCAAGAAATCGATGAACCATCAAGCTCCTGTTTTTTAATTTAAGATTTAGAAACTTTAATTGCATGCTTTGGATGTCGAAATAGACATTAATGGTACACAAATGCACACATCAATAATAAACCATGTAAAAAAAAGAATCGTTTATGAAAACATCACGACTTACCTCCTCCATTTCTGTAACACAGATATGGAAAGCGCCAGACATTCCCGAGACCAATGGCGTAGCCAATACATGCCAGCAAAAAGTCCATTTTGCCCGTCCATTTGCCTCTTTTACCTCCTTCGTCGACCACGTCTTCATCTTCGTCGGGTTCGGGATGATGTTCGGTGAGTTTCCCGTCTGCGACGACCACGCCCTGGTCATCGACATCGGCACTCCCGTTGCCCTGGTCCTTCGACTCGTCCGGATTCATGTCATTCAGGGGAATTTTCTCCTCCGAGTTGGCGATGGGAGGTACTCCGTTCTCAGACGTCATCTTCGCTATAACTTTGATGAAATGATTCTATAGGAGTACAGCAAGGTTAAGATTCCTGTTGTGTCCGTTAACGTGGGGTGAATTTGAAAATGTTGCTCACAAAGTTTATTCGACGAAACAATCTGAATTCACAGCAGCCTAAGATTATTGCAATCAAAGTGAAAATGGGTATGAATCATAAGCTATGTTGGTGTAATATTGAAAACCATGTGCTAGAACAAACATGATATGAACACGAGCTCATATCATGGACCGTGGGCTCATTTTTTAGGAAGCGAACGGGGTGGTATCCGGCACCTGTAGGGTGTAAAGCTCTCCGTCGCCACTGGTAGGAGGGTGTACATGTGAAACCGGACAGGTGTATTTGTCCCGTTTGGGTGCGGACACGTCGTTTTGCCTAAAAGAAGAAAGGTGAAATAATCCTCAGCCTCTGCCGGTGGCTATATCAACTTCCTAGCCAAATATTCACCCCTTTCTGCCCAAAAAATGTGAGAACGGACGAGAAAAGAAATTCTAGAATCCAACTTGCTCAATTACAGCACACAAACTCAAATTTCTTCCACCGTTGACTTCAATAAATCACAAAAGTTTGAGCAATACTCCCAAATTAGGAAAGTTAAATCATGAAAGACATCGATCGATAACTGTAAATCAGATAACAAAACATATTATGGAATGTTTCTCGATTTCTCAACACAGTTGTTCAAGCGACGGAGATACGCGGCATCTTCAAAGTCTGTGTCATCAAAGCAAAGTTTACCAGGGTTACCAGCAGTGCTCCAGTCAAGATAAAAGGGCACCTTGCTCTAGTTTAGCTCCTCTGGGTCCACTAGAAAAAAATCTCTCCTGCCAGGCTGCACATCAAAATTCGTGCCCACTAGCAAGGAAGACGAGAAACAAACTGGTGCTCCGGAGATGTAACTAAAAAAGCAAAACAATTGTTGTACGATGGAGTCTCAACAACGCGCACCCAAGCTCATGTCCAATCGCGCTCACATTACTTTACTTTTCCGCATGCGTTCCGTCGGTCGGAGTGCTAATCCATATACGGAACGATTTGTATCAAACTCGCCTTGAATTACAATCCGTTCCTATTTTCCAGGTCCGCTCGCTAGGGAACTTCTACAAACTCAAAGCTCATTGGTCCACTCCATTTTTTCATTTCCCTCCGTCTGTGGCGCAATCGATAAAATCTCGACGAGCAAAGCCGAAGAGTTGCTTTGCTTTCACAGGCAGATTTTGATGCCACTTTGTAGCCGTGGAAATTAAATCATAATCCACAATTTAATGTCAACGTTCAATCATTGATCTGCCACTTACACGCAACCCGTTGAGGGCGTAACCATCATTTTTAACTCACATAATCATAAGGAAAAGACTACATGAAATGCACTGTAAAACCCTGCTATGAAATATAATTCCATACCTGCAAACTTTTCGCTTTTTGTGAAATATGACGAACCCAAATTCCGTCTGGCTTGGTGCCTGATTATATTTTCTCCGTGTTATTTCAATCCAATGACATTCACAAGAATAACTCCACAAACCCTTAGTTTGTCTACAGTGAATTTACTCAGCACACTGCTCGGCATGGTGTATTGTTCGATCACCTCATTACAATCTAAAATGTTTATTTAACTCATGATGTGTGTAAACGTCTCACTCCTGCCAACAATGCACGAAATACCTCATTCAAGTGCAACTTATGTCCACAAAGTGCAACTCCATTTTTTTTCCTTCTCGCTTCTCTTTATTTGCATTCACATATTGTGTGAAGTATAAAATCACAGACTCGAAGAAACTGCACCGTTTTGTAGTGTTAATTTTGTTGTATTAAGTGATTTTATTGGTGATATATAACAAGCTGTTAAAAACATAGTAGTGTAGTTTAGTGTACTTCGTGTGTGAAATGTTTACTACTTTCTATGACATCATGGCAATGTGTGAATGATTGTAATCTTTCTAAATCTCTGACCAAATCAATTCAATACCTGAAATATTTCTTGTATAAGGGGTATTGAGCAAACATGGCAAATGATCAAACTATTTTAGGAATCAAAGTCATTTTGTCTGATAGTGAACATACAGTATGTATAGATATAAATTAAGCTCAATATCAATTATGTCCGAAATAACAGAGAAAGGGAAGAGGGAGGAGAATAAAAGAGAGAGGGGGAGGGAGAGAGGATGAGAGGGGAAGAGGGGGAGAGAGGGGGAGAGAGGGGAGAGAGAGAGAGAGAGAGAGAGATGGAAAGAGGGGGAAGAGAAGGTAGTGTGGAAGTGGGAAGTGTTGTATGAGAACGAAAGAGCGGTAGAGTGCATTGGGCAGAAAAGGAATGGAGGGGTAACCTAAATATGAATTATGTCCGAAAGAAAATAGAAAGGGGGAGATTGAGGAGAAAGAAAGAGAGGGTGGAGTGATACAGATATATATCCAATATATATATATACAGAGAGAGATACAGAGACACAGAGACACAGAGGCAGAGAGAGAGATAGAGAGAGACAGTGAGAGGTACAGCAAGTGAGAGGAGAGGGGGAGGAGGAGAGAGGTGGAGAAGGGAAGAGAATGATGGTAGAGTGTAAGACCGTGTTGTATGAGAACGAAAGAGCGGTAGAGTGCATGTGGTGGAAAAGGAATGGAGGGGTGATGTCGGAAACAATATAAAAAGGGGGAGGTTGAGGAGAAAGAGATAGTGGAGGGGAGAGAGAGAGAGAGAGAGAGAGAGAGAGAGAGAGAGGGAGCGATCCAAATATAAATATATATATATATATATATATATATATATATACAGAGAGAGATACAGAGACAGAGAGACACAGAGAGAGAGAGACACAGAGAGAGAGAGGGAGAGAGAGAGAGAGAGTGGGAGGTACAGGAAGGGAGAGGAGAGGGAGAGGGGGCTGGAAAGAGAGAGAGATGGAGTGAGGGGAAGAGATAGTATAGTGTGGAAGTGTTGTATGATAAAGAAAGGGCGGTATAGAGTGCATGTGGTGGGAAAGGAATGGAGGGGGTGACCTACATTCTATCTCATTGAAGAAGGGTCAGGTTACCCGATTACCTGATGAAGGGGATACAGGTGTGTAACTCGCAAGTATTCTATCGATGTAACATTTTAGCTTCCCGCCAACGGTTTCCATGGTGATAAAGACCGTGATTGTGATCCTTGAAAGTTGAGACCATCCAAAGCCAGTCGTATGGAGGTCAAGATTGCTCAATACCCGGATAATGAAATAATGTGGCATGTGATCAGATATATCACACCATAGAAATTAAGTCATTGATGTGAACAAATTAGGCATTATTTTCGCCAATTATGGAGCTTGAATTCACAAATTATCTGTCCGCAAAATCTGAAATGCCATGCAAGAAAATCTGATTATGAAGATTTGGCGGTTTGGTTTCAGTGAGGAATGTGGAGAAAGTTCAGGCGACCCCATTTGTCGGTGACAAGGCTATTTTCCACATTTTGTTACATCTCATGCATATGACATTAATTATGGGTTTTCTCACTATACAAAGACTGTCGTGATGGATACTCCAGTGAATATAATATTTGGCAGGCAATCTGCACTAAACAGTTTTGGGAACAAAACAGTATTTATCAACAGCCTGAAGAAGAACAATCAAATCTTTTATGATACCATCTCTAGATATTTTATGCATACAAAATGTGAGACTTGATCACATTAACTAAAGAATTACATTTTTCTTTTCATGTTATTTTGTGTTTCGCATATGAATTGATTTTCATGGTTGTAATCATGTTAATATATGGCGTATCACTTTTTAGTAAAAGACAAATTCAGTTTTAATTTCAAGGTTACCACTCAACACTTGGGAACACCTAATTAACTAAACAAATTATTCGTTTTCCAAAGTTTGGTGGGCTATCATAAGACAAAGTTTCAAAGTAAGAAGACAATCGTTCGGTATAACACTTCCAAAAATAGGGAGCGAACATAGAAAAATTATATTTTGTAATACTGTTTATGGCAAGTTTCATGCCAGTTTTCTTTTCTTCTCCGTTCGACGTGAAAGCGAAACAAAATTATTATCGTTATTTACAGGAGAAGGTATATTCTCCCAAAAGTTTGACAATCCTAAGGATAATCGTGTTGCTCGAAATCCTTTTTCAACGGTTTTCTGTCAACCGTTACACAACGAAGGAATTAACCCTGTGTGTAATTTAACTCAGAATAAGTTTATGTAAAGGTGTTGTGGCCTAGTGGATAAGTCACCCGACTGCAGATCACAAGGTACGGGGTTCAAATCTCAGCCCAGCACTAATGGTCTTATGGTGTAATGGTTAGCACTCTGGACTTTGAATCCAGCGATCCGAGTTCAAATCTCGGTAAGACCTCTCATTTTTTTAGCGCTTAGAGACTTCGGAGGTAAGCGCTTTATTATAAGCACCGTTTTTTCAATAATAATAATAATTTATTATTATTTGTCACTCTGCACCCAGGTGTTGATGCATATTATACTGTGGTTGTATAAAATGTGTTTTAAAATAGTGTTATAGCAATTCCCATAATTCTAAGTTGAAAGCCAAGTCCGCATCCTCATTGGCATGAGACTTTCCCCCGTTCATTCATAACATAATATATATTAGCCTAGAAACTAAATAATTGAATTAAATCGAGCATTGATAACCACTTAACAAAAAACAATGGTCGATCCTAAATCGTTTGCTTGGAAAGATACGTGTACAAATAGAGCAGTAATGTAGACAAAATCTTCTATTATGAAAGAGATTACTTTTCAGTTAAAAAAAAACGCATCAAACCTGAGGACAATGTCCATTGTAATGAGCTTTCCCATAAATATTTTTATTCAGTATTTGATTATAATAATATAGGTTATTTTGTTGTCGATAACACTTCGAAAGGATTATTGACCAATACTCCTGAATTCAGAGTACGTTATAAGTACGATACCTTTACCGGGTACCTTTAAAGGCCAAAAGTTGATAACAAGAGAGGGGAAATTCTCACATGTACAAAGGGATTTTGCAGCTCAGCTTTTGGCGGTGTGATGTTAACGATTGGAGGTAAAGGAATCTTCACACCCACTAGAAGGAACAATCCATCAGTATTTGCATATTTGTAAACCACAATCAAATAAAATAAACATGCTCCCGTTTTCCTGTCTCCCAGTCCATTTGCCGGTAAAGCAAAGAACAACTGGATCCTATTTCTCAACCCTCTTTCCCATTCCCCGACCCCCCCCCCCCTCTCCATCTCTCCCTCTCTCTCTCTCTCTCTCTCTCTGACTTTGTCTGTCTATCTCTGTCTTATTTGCATCTCTTCCTCCATCGTCAACTCGCTCATTTTAACACCAGTCTCTCCCGTTTCGCTATCCTTCACTCTTTTGCTCCTTTTCTCTTTACCTTATATCTTTCTTCCTCTGTCTCCATCCCCTTTCCCTAGCTCCTCTCTCCCTCTCTCTCTCTCTCTCTCTCTCTCTCTCTCTCTCTTTCTCTCTCTCTCTCTCTCCCCTTTTCTTCAGAGGTTGAAGTACTCTATGTTTGAGCAGGGACATGTCCCTGGTTGGAGCAACGTCCAGCACTGGCCAACCTTCCTTCTCCCTGACCCAGCATTAAGGCGTCATAAAGGAATAAAGGACATCGGTTTTCTAGAAACATGTATGGGTGTTATCTACCACGCCCTATATTTCACATTCATATTATGTAAAGATACCTGTATTTATTGCTGATCGATGGCGTATCCATACCCTGGCCTGAAGAGGGGCAAAATTACAGCCGAGTAGTGGTGAAGTGTGACGTCATCAAAAAATCTATTTTTAGCATAAAAATAATGTACAAATGTCGAAAATCAATTGAATATGTTAAGTATTGGCTGGGATATGACCACCTAAATAAATATAATAGGAACTCAGTGTTATATGCTCAGAGTTCCTATAGGAATTATATTTATTCAGATGGTCATATCTCAGCCAATACTTAACATATTCAATTGGTTTTCGACATTTGGACATTATTTTTGATGCCCTTTCAGAAAATGAAGAAAAATTTGAGAAATTCTAAAAATAGATTTGTATGACGTCACAGCTTCGGTACTCTAGAGTTTATAAGCAAGGAAATGCATTTTTTAATCAGTTTTCGAGTGGAGGGAAGGGGGGGCACAAAATTGCATGAGGTGAAAATTATATTTGAAAAACGATGGAGCGAAGCGACAGAGCGAGGCGTCAGCAGCGAGAGACGAGCGGGAGTTGGTCTCGGGGGGGGGGGGGGGTCAGAACTCTGAAGCGATGACGTTTTATTTGATTATAAGAGAAAGAAGACGATTCGTTGTACCGTTCTCGACTCTCAGTAATCCTTGTATGAATTCAGCCCCCCCCCCCCCCCGCGCAAAATGCGGAAGCTTCGACGTTTCATTAAATTTTTTACTCTTAATCAATAATAAACAATAAACAATAATATAAATAATAACAGACAATAGCAGACAAGGAAACATTTTTGAAAATTCTGACAAGTCGAGAATGGTACAACGAATCGTCTTCTTTCTTTTATAATTTCCTATTCTTATTTAGACAAAAATGATATTCTGGTTAGTAATCAATATGGATTTCGCCCAAAGTATTCAACCACGTTTGCATTATTAGATTTAATTGAAAATATTAGGTTAGCCATTGACACTGTCACACTGGCAATGTAGTCGGTATGGTGTCACTCGATCTTGAAAAAGCATTCGATATGGTATCTCACGATATACTCATTCATAAATTAAAGTTCTATGGTTTTCATGATAATGTAATAGAGTGGTTCAAGGATTATTTTTACTTGAGAAGTCAAATAACAGTTATAAATGGTAATGAATCAGCCGCGTCTTTTATCAAACACGGTGTAGCTCAAGGTAGTATAATTGGCCCACTTTTATTTATTTTGTACCTAAATGATTTGCCGAAAGTTGTTTGAAATTGCTCCATATCCCTTTATGCAGACGACACTTGTGTTTGCCTCTAAAGATCCGCTTCAGTTACAAACAATTTTAACCGAAGATCGTGAGTTAGTGACAAATTGGTTTTCACATAATGAATTAATACTTAATGAAAGAACGTGTAAGTTTATTCTGTTTGGAACAAGGAAAAATCTTTTGAAATGTCAACATGTCAAAGTCTGTATCAATGGTCATTCTCTGAAAATTACTGATGAATTAAAATTTTTGGGTGTCATTTTGGATAAATCATTGTCATGGTCGCCCCAAATTGAAAATACAAAATCAAAGATACTCCGAAATTTTTACGTGTTGCGACGAGCTAGACCATATATTGATAGGGACACTGCTATTGTTTTATATCACACAGTGATTCAATCGTATTTTGATTACTGTCATGTCGTTTGGCTTTGTCCTTTTTCCCATCATTTACTAAAATTGCAAATATTACAAAATAGGGCCTTGAGAATAGTTTTGAATGTAGATTGTAGATATAGCAGAAAAGATATATATAATAATGTAAAAATTGATTGCATTAGCAATAAGATTAAAAAGGACTTATTAATTTTAATTTTTAAACGGATCCATAACCTGGCACCACCATCTCTATGTTCGAAAATAATTGTTAAGGAAAGTTTTTATTCTTTACGCAACCACAAATGTATTCTTCACTTAAGCACACCCCGGACAAACTTTCTTAAAAATAGCTCAATTTATATTGGTATCAAACTGTTTAATGAACTCCCAGAGTCAATCCGCTTAGCAAATAACATAAATATTTTCACCAGATTGAAATTTCAATTATACACCAACCTTTTCTAGTTTCATTAATAATATTATTATTATTTTTCCCCCTTCTGTTTAACTTGCATCTGTATTTCTTTTGTTGAACTTGTATTATATTTATTTTGTTTAAATTTGTATTTGTATTTATTTTTCTTTCTTTACATTTACTTATTTTATATCATGTATTTGTTATTGTTTAATTTTTGTGTTTCATCTATTTATTCATATGTATTTTAATGTACCATGTACGGACATGCTGAAAAACAGCTATGCTAAGCTGAAAGCATGTTTTTTTAATCACCGTATTTAAATAAATAAACAAACAAACAAACAAACAAACAACGAATCCTCTTCTTTCTCTAATAATTTAATGAAACATCAAAGCTTCCACGCGCTTCGCTCGGGAGGGGGAAACTGCATTCAAACAAGAATTAAGAGTTGAGAACGGTACAACGAAACGTCTTCTTTCTCTAATAATTTAATGAAACGTTAAGCGTCTGCGCTTTGCGCGGGAGGGGGGAAACTGAATTCAGAGAAGGATTAAGAGTCGAGAATGGAACAACGAATCATCTTCTTTCTCTCATAATTTTGTTGAACTATGAAAGGTCAAAGTTCCCGCGCTTCGTGCGGGAGGGGGGGGGGGGGTGGGGAACTGAATTCAGACAAGGAATAAGAGTCGAGAATGGTACCAAAAAATCGTCTTCTTTCTCTAATAATTAATGAAAGGTCAAAGCTTCTGCGTTTCGCGCGTAATCGGCGGGGGGGGGGGGAGAGAATAGCGAGCTGCCCGAATATGAATTTTTGATATCTTTTCTCGTTTATTTTGGTGATAAATAACAATAAATTTCACAGAATACATTTGCTCGGTCGCTTCGCTCACGAGCCGAAAAAACGGTCTGCGCAATTTTCAAATTTCCCGCCCCCCCCCCCCCCCCCCCCCCCCCATTAGAAAATCCTGGATCCGTGCCTGGGGGGGGGGGGCGACCTAGAACATTTCTAGTTTGATGTTGGGAACTTTAATCACTATTATCTTGAGCATACTGTTATCACACATACGGTCATACTCGATACAAAGGTGATGTCAGAATTGTCTAATGAGGAAGGTACGTGCGACATCGCCTTAATTTCGGTATGGCATTTTCCTGATATATTTGCCCAGGAGAATATATAGGCTGACACTCCTGGGAATTTTTTACATGCATGTAACGAAGAGCGTCATTCGCAGCGATCCACGAGAAAGTTGCTGGTGTCGATTTATTTTAGTTTTGGCATCCAGTCAAGATTGACAATTTAGCTAGGCCGCGACAAATATGGATTGCTGTGTTGTAAAATATACTTGTTGTTTGTTGTTGTTGTTTTAGTTTTAAGGGTGAATATTTACAAACACGGATTAGATAGTCTATAGTCCAGACTCTGTCATCCAATTATAGTTTTTTGTTGAAAAGGATGCTATCAAATAAACAAGAAATACCAGATATCAGAAGATGAAAAGTAAAAAAATAAGCGAGAATCAGGCTTGAAGAGTTTTGTTTTTACTTGCCTCTTTGCATAATTATCGGTAACTAATTTTCTAAATAACTCCCCATGATTGCTTGTTATGAAACTACCGCCCACCTGTTCTCAAGGAGTTGCGTAATCACGGATAAGCTGAGGCTGTAAATAGGAACTTCTTGTGAATTGGCTGTAAATACAAGAGATGTGACTGGCTTCAGTTCTTCGCAAGTAAGTCATTTTTTCAGCCAACGAAAGGCAATAAGATAATGTTTAATGTGACCCACATTCGATTGACTAATGACTAGATGTTGAGCTGTTGATTGTAAGCGGATACGCGGATCATGTACCAGTTAGTGGCAGAGCTTCGCAGGGCTGCTGTACAGCTGCGGCTACATACTGGCCTGGCCTGGCGAGGCCGAGCCCGAGGGCATGGCATCAGCGCTCGCCGGACCCGGGCGCAGTCAGTCATACTCATACTAGATGATAGATCAGGCCAGGAGGCAATAATTACATGGTTGCTTATGTCCTTTTTGTTTATGGAAACGATGCCAAAATGAATGCCATTATTATAACTTCACCTTTTCTACACTATCTAGTCTACAATAATTACAATGATAATTATTTTATGATGCACTGTTTCTATCCTAATTTCCTATTGAATTCAACTTTCATTAAAATAAAATAGTAATAGTAGCTGTGGCACAAAAGAAATGGCTTTTAGCTTTTTCATTTTTACTTTGAAATTAAGTGAGATGGAATGTAATATATATATATCAATGATAAAATGATAAAACTAAATTAGAGCTATCTTCTGTTTTGTAATGCATGCAGGCTGTTCAATATTCAATGACGTGCCCAATTCCAAATTATGCAAAGTTCAATAATATATCTACTACTTTTGGCAATGCTTTTTCTATTTTTTGAAAATATGTTTTATTTATCCTGTTGAACACTGAATTATCTAATTCTCATCCAGGCTTTGTACCAGAACCACTCAGTTCTTACAGCAAAATGATTAACATGTGCCATCATGATTATCACTGTAAAAATTAAATTTCAGTAGATCTATATAATTGTATCATTTGTATGTGAAAAGTTGTATGTACCTCTTATGCCCTTGGCCACACCCTACAGTAGGGATGAGTCTTCAACATAAGTTCAAGACACAATAAGACCTAAAATTGATCTTCTCTTTTCAGAATTTCTGAGAAGAGTATGATGTAATTGACTCACAGGAGTGCCTTTGCAATTGCTTCAATAGTCCCATAGTTCAATTATTTTGCAATTTTGAATAAATCAAGGGATTTAATCCTTATGAAATAATATATTGCTCTGAAATTTTTATTTTTCAGGTTCTAGAAAAGAGGAGAGATCCATCATGAGAGGACAAGATATTATAAGGCTGTCAGCTGTTGCCTTTGTGGGTGTCCTTCTATCACTCTTGAATCAGGAATGGAGACTGTACAATGCTGATGGTAGCTGGTTGCCATTCTGGTGTAGAGGTAAATACATGTATATAGGTGCAGTTCTGATATTGGACTAGCTACAATGAAAGGTTTATCATTACAGTAAATAAAAGAAACTCCTCTCACTAAGAATAAGCCTTTAACCCTATATAGCCGAGAAGGGGGGGGGGGGGGATGGGGTTTATCACATAAGAATCTTGCGCTCAATTTTATGACTTTTTTCTTATGAATCTTGAAACAATTTTTTTGAAAATCGGATCTACCGATACAAAGTCATGTGACCTCATTTTTGTGATTTGTGTACAAAACATTCTTCTAAAAAAGAGATATAACATTCACCCAAAAAAGAGATAAAACATTGGTTATTTTGCCTTGTTTATAGTTTAGGTGATTGTTTTGGGGTCAAAATAGTTTAATTATAGTCAGAAATGAAATAAAACAACAAAAACAATAAAGTACATAAGTTAAAAAAACATAGAAATACATAATAAATTATCAAAACAGTAGATAACATAAGGAATAACCTGGCCCTTCCAAAAAAATTGTTGTATTATTATTTCAAATGGTCTAAAGAATATATGTTGTGAAAATGAATGTTTAAATATGTGACCCGGCACCACAAAACCAACAAAAAGTCGCAACCAGCGATTCTCCGTAATCAGCTAAAATGTCAATTTAGGTGAAAAAAATAGATTTTTGTTTTTTTGCATTTTCTGAAAGAGTGGTCTTTTCTGTACCTAGTGTCAAAATTTGGAAGTCTAAAACATAGTAGAAGATGTGTTTTAAACGGTTTTTTCTAGACCAGTTTTTTTCGCACAGCCTTCGGTCTCTTCCAAAATTTGATCACTTTTCCCGAGCGAAATTATCGTAGTCCGGAAATGGTCGGTCGTTGCTAACGGGTCGTGCTACGCGGGCTGTGATTGGTCCGTTATAGCAATCAGTGCGGCGCGCCATTTTGTTTGTATCCGCTTTCACATCCGAGTTCCAGATTTGCGTTCGTCTTATATTCTCCGTTAACGACTTCGAGTAGCTTGATTGTACATCACATATCCAGAATGTGTTGATCAAGAGTAGACCTAAGAACATTATTATATGTTATACATTTGAGAGTGACAAGTTGCGAAAAAGTCTACAACGTCGTTACAATGCCAGGTTTTGTACGTGAGCAGAGCCGTGGGATGGTACCGGGGTGCACCAACGCAGATGCCCGGGTAGCTCGGGCGGTCAACGAAGCGATGATGCGGGGGCTAGCTGCGGGGGATCAGGCCAACCTTACAGCTTTGCTTACTGAACACTTCGGGCAAGACAGCGACGAGAGAATTCCTGATAATGTGGTTACAAATAATTGCCCAGATGTATACAAAACAAGATAGGTGACAAGCAGTGTTATGTAAGGGGGAACAAAAAGACTCCGGGTCCACCATGAATAGGCATTGTCTAGTGCAGGTGTCTCGGCACTATGTTGCAGTTCACTTAATCTGTCCAATTACAACTCTATACATTTACAACATAATAACTTTTGAAAGACTTAAGTCCACACATTGAAACCTCAGAAACATAATGAACAGACTATGTTTGACCATCAGGCCAAATTTCAGCCTAATCTGAAAATCTCTTCATAGTGGTTGCTATGGCCTTTTGATTCACCCTTCTATTGATTTCCCTGTGGTTTGCTTGCTCCGCATGCTTGAATAGCCCCAAACTTTAAAGCTCTCTTTCTCACAATTTAATACCAGTAACCTCCCTCACCAGCTCTTTTTATTCACTAAATTGAAAGGGTTAGGAAGCTTCAATTTGGACAAGTAATATACCATTTTAATGAGGAGAACTTCTTCTTTCATAATCAGATGAAATCAGAAAAATAATTTTTGCGACTTTTTGGTGGTTTTGTGGTGCCGGGTCACATATGAAGAATATGATTTTATGGGTAAAAATGTGAATTTCATGACCTTAATTGAAAATTCAACAAAATTGAAATTACCATAGTATTCTATACACTTCACTTGACATGCATGCAAATGTTTGCGGTTATTGGCCGAGATTTTAGCGGGGGCCTTAGAAGCCCCCCCCCCCCCCCCCCCCCCCCGCAATGCAGTTTCTAAATAGCCTGGGCTATATAGGGTTAAGGGGCAATTTATTTATCATCATCATAACTATTCAAAGGTCAGACTCAGAGGTGATGTAGAGTGGTCTTGTTATGTTACAAGGTGAAAGGAGAAGAATCAATGCGCTATCATTTTTGTAAATTTTCTATATTGTCTGCAAATTTGATCATACTCCATATGTGATACTGTCAAATGTGTCAGTAGACCTTGTAGGAAATATTATGATTAAACAAAAGATATATTCAACCTTTATTGTCCTACAGTTAGCTGAATCAAATGATAAAGATTTACATATATATATATATATATATATATCTTGTAGGAATTTTGCTGGTATGCTGTGCCATTTGTACCGTAGCTACTCTTCACATCTCCATCCTGCCTGCTTGCCGCTACACACCTGCTAGCATCCTCATCCTTCAGTATCTGTTTGATTGCTTCATATCTGGCCTTGGGGCTTACTTCTCCCGCAAGTTGGAAAGCCAGACCAAGAGATGTCAGGAAGAGCAGGAGCAGTTCCTTCGGAGCCTCCTGGAAAAGCAAGCAGGTACGGCGTATGGCAAGGACAAGCAGTTTGCCTCCTTGAAAACCAGCGCCCAGTTTCGCCAACAACATCCCTTGACATTCCACTGCCATTACGAGCCATACTTGAAGCGGATTGTAGAAGGTGGAGAGGATAATGTGTTGATTGAAGGTAAACCCCTGAGACTCGGTCTGACCTCAGGAACGACGGGCCAGCGGAAGATGATTTTGACTTCCAAGAGACGCCTCCTCCTGTTCATATTGAAGTTTGTTCCCATCGGCCAACGCATACTGCGGAGGAGTATTCTGCCATCATTCTCACCTCTCCTAAAGACATGCTATCTCTACGTCCACACTCAACCAAGTTACCCCCTTCCTGGAATCTCAATGGGACCAACGACAATGCTAAACCTACCCGATCTTCTCTATCGCCTCCAGTACAGCACCCCTCCTGCCGGTATGCGACTGACCAATGAGAAGCAAGCTACTTACGTCCATCTGCTCTTTGCCCTTCGAGATCGTGACCTTCAGGCCATCTTTGCCATTTTCGCAGCCTCTCTATATTACACCTTCAAGATCCTGGAGGAGGAGTGGCCTGGTCTTGTAAATGACCTTCGTGAAGGTCGTATCAGTGACAGCATCAACTTGGCTCATGATGTCAAAATCACCTTGGAGAAAGAGCTGCAAGCAGATCCAAAGAGGGCCAATGAGTTAGAGGCAGAGTTTAAGAAAGGCTTTGATGATATCGCAAGACGTATTTGGCCGAGAATGAGCAGCTTGTGGGGAGTGACCTCAGGGTCAATGACAGTCTATGAAGATATCCTCAAGGTCAAGTACATTAAAGGCAAGTGAGATCATACATGAATATTTTAGAATGGTGTATTTACTTCCTAAGGTTACATAAAAAACTGTTAGTACTCATATCTTGATGGCTAGCTAGTGCTTACAAATATACATAGATTTACAGTTGTAGAAACATTTCTATCAAACACAACTTTGCAAACTCATTTAATTTGCTAGTTGCCTAAGATCACTCACTATCTGCTGGTAACCTGGTTTCTGTTTTACCCTTATTAAACTTAGTAACTGAGTAAGTCCAGGGAATCAAATGTGTTCAACAGGACCTTATCTTGTTATCTTGTTATACACTCTGCCTGTGATATTCAATGGGAACAGCCCCATCTCGAATGGGTTTATCATCATTGTTTTACTGTTTTTCTGTGTACAGATCTTCCCGTTGTGTCCATGATCTACAACTCCACAGAGTGTCTCCTCGGAGTTCTGCATGGAGGAGCCAAGAGGACAGAATACATCACATTCCCTGCAGATGTCTTCTATGAATTCATTCCTTTTGAAAACTGGTACATATTTTCAAAATGAGGCTTGCTTTGTAGGTGCTGCACTGATTTTAATAAACAGAATTTATGTTGACTGAGGAATAAATGGTCATTTCTATATGAGTTGTATTGTGTATCCATAGGTAGTCATTGTTATATCGATAGCCTAAATGCAATTATCTGTAACCAATTTGTATAACAAAAAAATTGACTTCTTGTTTGATGCCTCAATCACTATTTTAAGTTTACTTTCATATCCAAGAAAGCCATCCTATCCTTGTAGATGTCAAAACAATCAGCAGACCAGGAGGCTGCATCTGTTTCCTACAGACTCAATCCCAGGGTCACCATGTCACAAAGATGTACCTACCTCAGATAGTCTCATTCCATTATCACTTGTTCTATTGTAACTCTCATGCACACCTACAGTTCTTGAATGACATTATATGGGCTTACCTTTTAAGTGCATCATCCTGAACCCTGCTTTGAATTTGCCTGTGATGCCAGGGTGTATGGATAGATGCTAGAGCAACGACAGGATTCGCTAACACTACTTTGATTGCTATGGGTAGAGTTTGATAGTAGACCTGTCAACAGTTCCCCCCCCCCAAAAAAAAAACGAACAAAAAACAAAAACAAAACAAGAACAACATATACCTTTTAGAAAACGTGTCGTTTGCAGCTCGATTAAAACAGAAAAGTCCCAAAAAGGAATGAGTCTCAATGGGCCTCAATTGACTCCCCTGTATCTAAAATGTACTGTTGTTCTATGAAGAAGAAAATAAATAACTGTATAGATAAATTTCTTTTCTCTTGAAATGATAACACTGACTGATGCATTTTTCTGGTTATCTTATGCTAATCAGCTCCCAGGATCAGCCAGATACCCTTCTAGCTGAAGAGGTAATGGTGGGTTCTTACTACGAGGTTGTCATCACAAGCATTGATGGCCTGTATCGTTACCGAATGGGAGATGTCGTCAGAGTGACTGGTTTCTACAACAAAACACCTCTTCTGGAGTTTGGACACAGGTAGATACACTAATGAAGGGTTGTATTGTTTTATTTATTTTTATATGCTTAAAATGTAATATAAACAGCGAGAGGACCTAGACACTGGCTCAGTGACTCAGTTTCCCATGTCAAACCAGTATGTTCCAACTCCATTGATTGACCCTGTAGCTATACCACCTTTATGGGAATAACAGTTGCTTATTTCTAAGGTACAGATGTTACAAATTTCGATCCTCCGACGTAAATAATCATATATGATTGATATATGTCTTGCTTGCATGTACCTTTCTTTATTTACCCTTTATGTCTTTTATATAGGGTTGGCGATGTATTAGACATACACGGGGAGAGAACACCAGAGATAACCATCAAGGCTGCCCTTCTACAAACTCTGGACAACCATGATGCCTTCCACCTTGTGGACTTCACATGCCTAGAAAGCGCTTTGCTGAGAGAATGCCAAGGTCAGTGACTAGAAAGATGATGATGAAATAAGTATTACATGGTAACTACTAGGATGAAGCAAAGTAAACTTTAATACATCCACCCATCGACCCTCTCAAATAATGATGTCATATGTTTGGTGGAATCAACAGAAAGTACTGAAAGAAATACAGAAAAATCTCAAAACATTCAATCATTCGATGTACACTGTTGACCAAAAGCTACATTGGCTTGGTGGGTTGGTTCTGATTAAGTCAAACTTGTATGGCCTTGTTTGGCAGTATAGAGAGGTGTGTTGGGCTTCAGATGCTATAAAATCATAAATATTAATATTAATGTTAACCATGAGATTGACAATACAATTTTTTTTTTTTTTTTTTTTTTTAATCCAGTACACATATCCCATAATCATATTTGCCTGTGAAGGTTACTCTTTATATACTGTTTTTTTTTTTTATTGCTTTCAGGTGAAAGTGATCAAGACGTTTCTGACCGTTACATAGTAATTGCTGAAGTAGATGTGATGGTCAATCAAATGGAGAATCATACTGAACTGAAAAAGGTACACATTTATTTTCATGGGTCCCACAAACTACAGCTCTTTGGTACCTATTCAAGAAAGTGGACCATCTAGAATCAAAACCTGGTATAACAAGGTCCATTAACGAAGGAATAGAAAGTATCTACCACTCCATAGAGATTATTATAATTCTGTAACGAAATTCGACATATGAATGAATTTAGTCATGTATTGACTGAGAAGACAGAAAGAAAGAAAGATAGAAAGAAAGTAATTGAGAGCGAGAGAGAAAGAGAAAATGCACCATTAGGTAAATGAAGATGTTTTTTAATTAGTGAGAGAGGGAGAAAAGGGGAAGAATTAGTAGCAGGCAAAGAACAATTTTTTACAGATTTATCACTATCCTCTTTTCATTTCAGAATTTTCGGCTGGCATCTCACGTTGACGTGGCACTCTGTGATCTATCAAGCGCATACTCGAATTGCCGAGCCAAGGAACTTCTTCAACCCCTCCAGCTAATCCTTGTTAGACCTGATACCTTCAGAGAGTTTAGGGTTCTCCTCTCCCGTCGGTCACATGGCTCTACCATGCAGGTCAAGGTTCCCAAAGTATTGAGAACCGAAGAGTTTACCCACTTCCTTGTACAAAGAAAATTGGTAGCATAAATGATGTAAGTTATAAGAAAGTTTGAAGTTGAACTACATTGCAATCAAGTTGTATTGTAAAAATAGTATTCCGCTTTTATATGGCGCTTAATACATCTACGATGTCTCTAAGCGCTTTACAAATATACTATTACCTGGTCATTGGATTCAATGCTTGGCCGCACACATTGTGTGCACAATCTCCACTCCCTGGGGAGTATTCCAGCCAGGCGTTACTTGACACTTAAAACTGTTTGACCAACAATGACGGTCAACCAGTTATATCTATGCAATTTTTATACGCAATTTTACAAGGATTATGCAATCTAACAATGGCATTTGAAATGCCTCACTTCTAAGGACTAAAGCCTTGTTCGGATATAGGGTGGCAAAACCATGGCGTTTTGTTATGATTACGTAAAGGGTATCAAATACGCTACTCATTTTTGTATCTTATAGTACAGAGCTTACTGAATATATGCAGCACCTTTGTTTTGTGCGCAGTTGTTATTCATTGACATTTTTTTTTTAACATGGCTTTTTGGCGGCAGTTTACTACACAATATCTGAACGAGCTTTTGAATTTGAAGACCTCAAGGGGCTGCATTTTTCCACTTTGTCTTGTATTTCCATTGAACTTTTCTTTTAGTCAATATACATGTAAGTTGTAAGTATTATATTGATAATTAAAAACTTCTAGTGCATTTTGTCATTCTACAGATGAAAATTAGTTACTGTTAGTATGATTTCTGTTTTATCTTGTTGAAATTGAAGGTAAGTAGTAGCAAAGTCAGATTCTAATTGCTCAAATCATTTTAAAGGTTAGTTGCCCATATCATGGTACATGAATTAAACCAGATGCCTGGTTAAAACTTGATTTAAATGGAGTATACCAAACAACTGTTTTTTATAAACTCAACATATTCAAGCGTAAATAGCCTAGTATGTGTAAAACATGTTCTATTAGATATGTATATGTATATATGGTTTGGTTGTTAAGTGGGGTTAAGTTATTGTGGATGTTATTGTTTTCTTAATCAATAACAAGTTCAGAATGAAATGTGTTTGGATAGTGGGTGAGTTTGCATTTTTGTATTAAAGTGAGAAAAATGTCCTGATATCTTTTGGATTCATTAAAAAGTTTGTTTTTAATTCAGAATACAACCCTAGAATACTATAGCGTGTGTGTTTAACCCAAGACAAAGTGCTATGCCTTTGAATTGTCCATTATTTGTGAAGCTACATTTCATATAATAATTATGTATACATATACAGCATTTTCCATAAACATGTTCAAATGCACAAATACAACTTAATACAGGGTATTGTAGTATTCTTTGCGGCTTATGTATAATGAAAATACAGGGTACTTATTATGTATTCCAAAGTGCAAATTTTTATATTGGTAATTGAACTGGTATATTTTGCATTCAATTTAGTATGGCTTTTCAATTTCAATAGCATGACATTATGTACCTGGGAATTGCACAAATTATCAAAAACTTATCTTGTTTTTATTTTGTTGCTGTTTGCATTTACTTCCTGAATGTGCTTTCAAAACCTGGTGCTATATTTATACTAATAACACAAAGAAAGGTTATGTGAATGTTTATGTACATATATTGTTATTACAAATGCATGACCTTGTGGCATGGTAAAACGTCAAAGCACAACAATTTTTATTATGATGAATTGTTGACATTTTATTCCAGAGTGAGCTTGCAAACCTTGGTGCTATTATATGTTTGTTGTAGTAATAATAATAGGAAGAAAAGTAATAAACATTGTGTAATTTTGGAAATTGTGCAAGAATGATCCTCATTTAACACAGTGAATTTAATTATCTTTTGTCAACATTTGTGAATAAAGATGATGGCGCAATCCCGGTTTGCTGAACATAGTAGACTTTCTTGTATTTGACTTGTGTCTTGACTTGCATTATGAAACAATTTAAAACTCTATCTGCACTAGTTTGGCCAGGAAGGATTAGACCTCCCTGCATGGTCACTGACGGGTGGTTATCTCATCAAAATAAGCTCTCAAATAACATAAGAAAAAGGGGGCCATGGGGAAACAACGGTCACCGATTAGGTATTGTTTGCTATATAGAGGGCACAAGTAGCTTTAAGTAGTGCAGTTGGGATTTAATTCATTGAGTTTTTCATATCCTTTCCTCATTCACGCAGCACAAAGCATGAATAAATAACACCTTGCAACTTGATGAAATCTTTGATAAAATATCAGTACTGCTCTTCTTTATTTGTTAGTTCCATCTGTAAATAGCCACATTCTCACAATAATGTCATACATTTGTTCATCAGTCACAGTCAACGTATGGAGATCAACAATCCAAGGTTTTGGCGAGCAAATTGCTGAACACACTCTCCCCAATCCAACAAAAATATAACATATTTATGCATAATGTAAATAAGATCTCTTTTTTTGTGTGTCTTCTGACCTTCATGTTTGCTTTCTGATCTACATCTAAGAAATTAGGTCATAACCTGCAAAACGATATATAGATAGTCTGTATTAATTAAAGCACATCAATATGCTAACTTCCCATGCAGCAACATTTCTCAAATACTGACATTTTTAATATAATGGGGGAAAAATATCACTATTCAGCTAAAATCTCAATAATTGTGATTTATCTGTTGCTTATACCTTACAATGTGAAAATTAAATAGTTAATGATCATGAAGAAATCATGAAATTTTTGTGAATTTGGTAATCCAACATCCTTCTGTTTTGTTTGCACATTAACATTGTTCATGAATCATTTTCAAGCAGTATCCAATTTTGGTGATTCGTGAAAAATCTAACGTTTTCTTGAGAGTAACTGCATTATCATTGTAGGAAAACCAATCTAAACAAAATAGCATTTTCAGAAAAGCAAGTACTCTCAATAGTTCCCACACGTATATAAGTGCATACATCATAAGGGACAATGCAGCACTTATTGTAGGTATCTTTAATCTTAAGAGACTACATAATAAGCTCATCGGGCCCTTCGGGCCGGATGAGCTAAAAATCAGTAACTTCTAACTACTGGAAATTTCATGTTTGTTAAGAAAATAATTCAGCAAAATAAAACGTGTCTCATCAAAATTATAATGTATCTGTTGCTTATAAGTAAAAAGCCACTTCCGATATATCACTTGTACAAATGACCTCCAAATATCCAAATATCTTTGACACATGGAGACTTTGTCCATTTTTTAAATAATCGCTAGCAAAGTGATAGAGGTGCTTCATCAACCTTTCGTTTGCCCTTCTTGACAAGAATACATCCACCTTTGTATCATAGAATGTACTGGCATTGCATAAATGATGAATAATGATTACATAACTGTCATGAAAACGTATCTAGCAGTGGTCTTGACTCTTGATGGATTTTACAGTTTTGTACAAATGACCTCTCTGAAGTGGCTTATTGCATTGTTTCGCATTATTGCCTGTACTCCTTCAATGAAAGTTAGACATAGAGATCTACTAGTTCATACAGGATTAAGATAATATTGACTATGTTCTTAGAGACTTTTTGCAGTTTAAACTAACAACTATTAAACATCGAAGTATGTTTCCCTGAAGAAAAACATGCTTGAGTAAAGTTGTGTAACTAAAACATTGATTCATTTTCCCATTTCTTTTTATCCAAAGAGCCTTTGTACCTTCAAGTTTTAAGAAAAACACTTCTGCTAATACCTGTGTCATAGTATCCAAAGAGCCAATATGTTACTTTTACCTTAGGGTCTGCAAATAAACACTTCTGCTAATAATCACGTTTATGATTTTTTTTTTAAATTTTTTATTCTATTTTATTTTTTCCCATTAAATACTAGAGGTGGAAAAAAAAATGCATGTAAATATGAATTTAAATGTATACTCATATATATTTGCTTTAAATATTTTTTTAATGAAAGAATACATATTTAACCAACATTATATCAATAGGTTCATGCAAAGATCTAGAAAACAACTGAATTATAACCCTCAATGTTTCACTCAGCTCTTACTAAAGTACCATATTTCTCTCAGTGTAAACAAACATAATTTATCACTAAAATGGCAAGGTTTGAAACACAAAAATAAATCAAATAAATTTACATAAATCTTGTGGTAATGCTGCAGAGGTGTTAGCGCCTTTAATAATTTAAATAAGAAAAAAAGTTAAAATCATCCGAGGTAAAAAACAACAACAATGATTTCAGCATGTGTACCATAGTCAACAGCAGTTGTTTCTAATGTATCTGAGTAAAACAAATACTATAATTCATGCAAATTATTACATATAAGGGGAAAGGAGGGGGGGGGGTAGAGATAGCACTTATAACAAAGTTTCAAAGTATGAATTTATCAACTATTTGAAGTTCAAGAGGACCCAAAACTCCCCCATTCATATATATATATATATATATATATATATATGCCCTCCTCCCCCATGTAACAATCTCCTATGTAATGGTTGGGCATTATGATGAGACTAAAAGGTAGTTAAATTTTGTACTGCAATTTCCATATTCACAGTAAGTAATAAATGAATAATTAACCATAAATACCACAAGCTCAGAATTGTTCTATATTTAGAGAGTGTAAATGACAAGGAGATCATTTCAGTCATCTCTGTTCCTGCTCCAGTTGGTTATCAAAATCAATGTTTGGAAGTTCTCGTCTTTTGAGTAAATATTTTAATGGTATCAAGACATACAGAAAGCAAAGGTTCCATCAAGAAAACCATCATTGGATCATGGATCAAATGGCAAGATCCAGGATTACATCTTTAGAACCAATCTCTCATCCCTGGATCAAAGGTTATATTAGTAAATCAAGGGTGAAGTTACACATCGTTAAATCATCCCCTGGGTCACAACACAGGATCAAGTGACCGGATTCAACATTCCATCTTCACAGCCAATTTCACATTCTTGGATCAAAGGTCATATGAACGAATCACTGGTGAAGTTACCATCGCCCTGGGTCAAAGGTCACAACACAGGATCAAATGACTGGATTCAACAGTCCTTCTTTACAGCCAATTTCACATTCCTGAATCAAAGGTCATATCGACGAATCACTGGTGAAGTTTAACCATCGCCCTGGGTCAAAGGTCGCATGGCCGGGGTATGGATCAAAGCTTGAGATCACAGTATACAGTCAATGAGGTTGTCGTGTGGTTGTGACATGTCCACAGGGAAGAAGCTCACTAAGGTATCATACAGCTGAAATAGACATAGACAAAGAAAAAAAGGTTGAATAGCACATACTTGAATACTGATAACAATTACACATAGTTAATAACTTGAAGAGAAGGTTGAGTTCTGGGAAGAGGTGAAAAATCACTTGTGAGCATTATCATTGTATTATACTGCAAGTGCGCAAGAACATCAGATAAAAAATGTTCCCTGAAGAGCATGGCTTAATATTCTAAATATGGCATGAAACATCATACAAATTGGGACAGATTTTTATGCCACATGTTTGTGTAGTCCCATAAACATCTTTCTGTGTACAGTGCTTGTAACTTTACAAAGACTGGGCAAAATTCTTATCATTTTGATGATTCCAGAACCTTGCAGTACAAACCAATACTTATTGGCTAAATGATCAACCTTTTCTGATCAATTGCACGTTTCTTTCACAATGTAATCGCATGACCAGAACTCAATTTTATCTGTAAAATGGTAAATACACCCCTTTTTATTTGACACAGAGAATCAAAACGCATTGTGACAGTATTCAGGTTTAAAAAGCATCATTTTATCAGTTATGCTGAGTCATGGCAGGTACAAAATAAAAGCCGCTACTTACATCAACGGTGTACATTACGTAACAATTTGGATGAAAGAATGGTAACTGTTCTTTTAATTCCTATCAAGTGACCTAACAGGAACTCACCTGTGTTCTGCTGGCATAGAAAGGAGGTGCGTCTTCGGTGCATTGACCCATAAGGAGGTGTTCTGGTACCTCTAGACCAGGGCTGAAAAGTCTTGAAGCGAGGAGCTGGAACTGCAATAAAATTATACAAGAGTTGACATGGCTCATTAATTCCCTTGTTACCACCAAAACTAAAAAAAGTCTTATAGCCCATCTGCACTAGTTTGGTCAGGAGGGATTATACCTCCCTGCATGGTCACTGACAGGTGGTTATCTCATCAAATCAGCTCTCAATTAACATTAAAAAAAGATGACCATGGGGGACCAATGGTCACCGCTTAGGCATTGTTTGTTATATACAGGGTGCGAGTAGTGCAGTGGGGCTTTAACCTCTTACAATTAGAAGCAAATATGATTTTAATTTGATTTACAGATAAATACACTTCGTACAAGAACCCCCCCCCCCCTCCCCATAATCAATTGTCTCACCCATATTATTTAGTGGATTAAAATAATCCTCAAAATCCTTATTTAGCATTCGCTTACATTGCCATTTTAAGGATTAAAATGCTCCAATATTTATATTTATACAAAAAAGATTACTGTGACAAAATACTCCTTACACTAAGAAAAAAAAAGATAGCTTAAATTGTGCTGTAATTATTTCTCTTTCTGATCTGTTGATTTTCAGCAATCAGAATCAAGTCGATTCAGTTAGTAAGGAAACAGTATGATGTGTGGCACCTCCAAGGCGCGATAGCTCGGTCGGTAGAGCAGTGGTCTCATAATACGGTGACCAGAGTTCAAAACCAAGACGATGCGCTAGTGCCCTTTGGTAAGGCATTACTCCTCATTACCAGGTCTCTCGGAGAGGCCTAAAGACGTCTGCCGTCTGGTTGCGTATGCCTCAGTCACACCTTTGCGTATTTGGCTTGCATATTGTTGCTTATATATGGCAAGCCGTTTCAACATTTATTCCTATATCTTGATATCAATTGAATTTTTGATATCAAGAAGTGAATTCTTGACATCAAGTAATCAAATTCCTGATATCAAGAATTATTATTGCTTTACAACAGAAATTCATTTCCTGATATCAAGAAATAGGAATGAATGTTCAAACGGCTTGCCATAAATACGCAGCAATACACAAGCCAAATACGCAAAGGTGTGACTGAGGCATTACTAACAAGCATTTATGCTTTCTTAGCAGTCAGGTAAAATAACCACCACCACCACCACTATAATTGCAATGCTATACGGTTACAGAATGCAGCTAGGTTACAGGTAAGACTGACCTCTTTGGTTTCTTCAGGATCCGAATGATTGACCATCTCTGCCAGGTCTCTCTGCAGGTAGGACAGGGCCATCATAGGGTTGCCCATGGCCGTCTCCTGGAAGCTATGACGACGTATCAGGTACTTGCAACGCCTCACCAACTCTTCTTTAGTGGGTCTACAAAGCTGTATTTCAACACAAACAGTGTAAAGATTAATTTTTTTGCGGCGAAGGAATTCACTTTGACAAATGAAAATTGAGATTATAAAAGCATTCCCCATGGCTGTCTCCTGGAAGCTATGACGGCGTATCAGGTACTTGCAACGCCTCACCAACTCTTATTTTAATAACACAAACAGATACAAGTGTAAAGACTTGTTTTTTATACGGCAAAGGACTTCACTTTGATCATCATGAAATAAAAGCTTATAAAGGAGGATGCACCAGCTCATTGCTGGTACAGATTTCAATGAAAGTGAATTGTACATAAACTAATAGCTTCAGAATGTTTAAAAGTGTAATAAGACTACATGGTAAAGAAAAAAGATCCAGGCATCAAGTTATTCCTGGTCACTCTCAACTTATATTGTTACCATTTCTGTAAAGTCAAATGGATTGGAAAATAGGAAATTAGGTTACAGTTATTTAGTTAATCTTTTTCTTTTCCCGTCATCCATGTGACTCTTTTCCAAATGTACTCTTGTTTTAGATTAAATGATTTTCTTTGTTTTTGCTGAATAAATAATAATAATAATAACTCACCTCCAACGACCAGAAGTCGTCCAAGCGAGGGCGCTGTCTGTTATGGTTGCCTGGGTTACCACCAAATAGATAGTGCCTCTTGTGAATATGGTCGTAAACAAGCTGATGGGCATACCTCGGACAAGGCTCTACATGTTGCTGTTGTTTCCAGTACTGCTGGTCATTGTTTTCATTCTTATACACGCAAGACCTGGTGAATACATAAGAATGAATTCATAAGAGTGTCCATCACCGGATTAGCCTTCAGATTTATGACCGACATGCTTTATGTAATGCTTTGCATTCTCCATTAATCACCCCAAGTGGAATAGTCATTATATAACATTTCCCTAAACTAAAGACTCTACGAGAGACTCGGGGGGGGGGGGGGGGGGAGGATTTCTGGATGGGACTTGTACATCCATTAACATTATTTTCACCAAGTCTGGTGTCAGCGAATTATGACCTACTGCATTTGGAAACTGAGCTACAATCTCCCTTTATAAGTCATAGAGATACAAACAAGAATACTGATTTTCATTACATCTCTGACCTTCACATTATGATTTACTGTTGCCTGAAGTGTAAAAATGCAAATAGCGCATATTGTTCATACTGCCTCACCATCCAAATAGGCCAGCTATTTTCCAAAATGCCTCCTATCCAGGTATATACACTCCTCAAATAATCAAGACAGCAGGTGAAATAAATGATAAATCTTACCATCGTTCCTGCTTGATGTAGTATACCCAAAATGAATTCTTCATGGTGTCCTCTTTATCTTTGTCTTTACTCAAACCCTACAAAAAAAATACAATAAAAAGGAAAGAAAAAAATGCTTGCATTATTTAGTGTTTCCAATTTTTCATATTTATTCATCTAATCATAACAATATGATTGCAGGGCCCTCAGGGAGAACAGTAATAATACTGATGAGGCTTCCCTGGGTAAAGGAGACATAACATTATTATTATTATGAGCAATATCTAGTTGAATGATGGCATTCTTTCATATGCCATGACAAGAAAGTCCCAAAGATTGTGTACAGAGAGTACATAACTATCCAATTACAGTGACTAAATACTTACACGTTCACTAATACTACAATGGGCAAAAAGGGAAGTTACTTGGAACATTGTTTCAATGGGGGATAAATAAGCATTAAAATCTGTATAATTTTATTCTTCATTCACACATAATAGCTGTATAGATCTTCTTTTTGTTTAGGTGGGCGAGTGCGAATATTTATGTTTGTCTTTGTTCACCTACGGACTTTCATAACTAAGGTATTTAGTAATAATCTGATGTTATCAACTATGTACACATGGGAGAGTATGTATAGATATCCATAAACTTACAGATAAAACATGAATTTCATCCAGTTCAGGATCTATTGTTGCCCTCTGAGTGAACCCAGCCACAGGCACTGACAGAAGAAAAAAGATTGTAATGAGAAAGAAAAAGACAATTAGTCATGTAAATACATAAATAGTAACTCAAGATTACTGGAAGAAATCAAATTTGTAATCTTCATGCACAGATTTCTGTAAAAAGTTTAGGTTATAGTTTGATATTAGAGTGTACAGTGGACTCCATATGAATTTATTTAGATAACTGAGGTACATACATGTACAAATTCAAAGAAATTTGGAGGAAACTGATAAAAGTATAAATCATCTGTTCAGAGCCAGAAGGGCGTTAACTCTGCATTTAAGTACAGTCAAACCTGTTTATTAAGGCCACCTTAGAGAAACACAAAAAGTGGCCACTGTTAACAGGTTGCCTTTTTAGACAGGTACTTTGACACACATTTCCTTCTAGAGGGAGGCAATATGTGTGATCACTATAGGCAGGTGGCCTTCATAGAGAGGTGGTCACTCAGGCAGGTTTAACTGTATTATGAATTAATGCCCTTCTGGCTCCGAACAGACGAAATATGAACATACCTCCACTTGGATGCCCCGTGTTTCCTCCTCTAGATATCAGTTCTATCTCCTCGTTATCTATATTATATGTGAAGAAGTCACTGAGGTATTCCTTCCCCCTCTGACCAGCAAAGACAAAAAGTTTCCTGGATTCCTGTAGCATAAAAAAAGACAAAAATATATTTTTTTAATCTACTGATTGATATGAGAGAGAAAAACAATAATCTACAGTATTAAAAGCATGACGAAAACTCGCCATTTAAAATTGAAACCCCCATTTGACTTTCACCACTACTACTTGTACTAGAGCAGAGATTGTGATAAGTCCTAAGTAAACACTAGCGTTGTAATCCACCCCCACCGAGACCTCGATGAGGTGATAGAGAGAGAGATAAGCATGATACAAGGGGAAAGGAAGGGAGAAGGGAGAAAGAGACACATGCAGGGGTTCGCTGCCAGAGTTAAAATTGTTGTTATATCGCCAATTATGGGTCATTTTGCTTCGTTTGAACTTTCATTTTGGTCTTCATCTAACTTATAAGTGATTTTTTGACATGAAAATATCTTCAAACAAGTAAAATACTTATTTCCTACTTCTCATTTCCTTTCAGGCAGAGCCCCAGTAAGAGTTTTTTTTACACTAGTATTACGTAAGATGATGAAGAGTCCAGCTGCAATCCAATATCATAATCTCTCACGCAGAGCCTCAAGGCACTGTCCAAGTTTTTAACGAGAGAAACGAAATTGGGGTAGTCCAACCCCACCAGATTCCCATTGGTGCCTGTGTAATAGTAGTAGCTCTCTCAAAGTTTTAACGAGAGAAACGAAATTGGGGTAGTGCCACCCCACCAGATTCCCATTGACTGCTGTGCTATAGTGGTGGGGTATAGTTTTAACGAGAGCTTTTCGTAATGGGGAAAGCGTGAGTGAAGGATACATACTTTAATACATGACTGAGTTTGATATATATTCAGATATTCAATCAGGATACCTATAACTTCGGAGAGATAAAAATGTTTTGCAAATTATATACACATATACACACATATATAGATACACATGTGGCCGCAACCTTGAATTTTACAACTCTTACGATCACTTTGGCCTGGTCATTATACTAACTCTTAAAATTCATTGTAGACTTCAAATATATACAAACTGTAAACATACAGCGGCAATATTGTACATGATAATTAAAGTTTGTTTTCATCAATGGCTATGATTGGGCAAAGCAGCAGCTCGACTTTGGAACTCACCGGTTGGAAGAGCATAGAATGTCCCGTTCTCGACTTGATGTCCTTTGTATTGCGTTTCAAATCATGTAGATGAAGATGATGATGGTGATGATGGTGGTGGTGGTGAGCACTGTAGTCAGGTCTCTTCAGCTGCCATGTGTTAGTAGGTATGTGGTAGAGGTAGAGACCGCTGAAAGAACCTTCGCTTGGACGATCCTCCGATGAAGAAGAACTGCATGATGAAAAAAGAAAAATTATTTATTTATTTATTTATTTATTTTTAATTCAGCACTTGCAAGAAATATAACAATAAAATAATATAATCATGGTGACGCCAAAAATTATACAACATATTTTTGTAGCTATACTCTGAGTGCAAAAGATGGCAGCCAGGGAGTTAAAATCAATGCTACATATAAAATCCTCTGCAATGACTAAACCTATCTACTGATAACATTTTAAGAACAGCAAATTGAAATACACCCATATTTGCTTACAGAAGAGTTTTATCATATATGGGAAATAAGATGTTTAAGTTCATAATTTGTTGGCAGAGAGCATGCTCATTGCAATGATCTAAGCTCTTCTAGCTAAAACAGCAACTGTATATAGAATGTGACTGGTTCCACTATCAGAAAGCCACTAAAAAAAGGAAAAGTTTTCTGAACTATACCATCAGTTAACCCTTATTTGCTATGAACCACATCCTCGACTGCTCATTGTTTTGAGTATATTTTAAACACATAATTATGAAAAAAGAAGACTGTAGCATTCTCATGTTTGTTCCGTCAAAGAGATATCACAGCTAGCTCTTTGGTTACATTAATCAATCAAAGCCTGTCAAAAATGGTTTTAAAAATTGCAAAAAATCCATTGAAATATAGATCTAAATTGATATACAGGGAAGTCTGCGAAATCCAAATTCTTCTACTACAGATACCATTGAAGTTTTACACTACGAGAACAGTCATTTTTTTAAGAAAAAAAAATCTAACCTTGTTAAGACCCTCCCTCCAAATACATAGATGGTAGACTTCTCAGAATCCATGGACATCTGATGATCAAAGATTAGTCTAGGACCACCCTCTGCTCCTGTGTCATCACATATCAACGTCCATTTAGCAGATGCAATGTCATACACATAGAAATCACTCTGCATAGGTAATACAATAGATCAGGGAAAGAATTGTATACTTCTATTACCAGATCATGAACTTAGTACTTGTGCTTTATAATTGAATACAAATACAAATTTGTTTTAATTTTCATCAAAAAGATAGACTTGCAGTATTAATATGAAAATTTGACAGTTGAATATCTAGAATATGATGCAAAATATATGGAAAGATAAATTGCATTATTTTTATTCACTTGAAATATCACTGCTATAAATATAATTGCTTATATTTGCATCTGCTTCTTTAGCAAAGTGACCAAGAACTCTCTTCAAGAATTCAATTTGATGTCAGGCATTGCCTACAAAGAAGTATTTTGATACAAGATTGTTTAGAAACTAAGCCCGAGTCATTATGGTTTTTGTGCTAAACGTTTAACTGTTAAAAGTATACGGACGGTTTCGTTTAACCGTTTTGAAAATACACATATTTTTACAAGCGTGTAAATTCTCAAGCATTCAGTTATTTCGATGAAGACATAATGTTTTTAGATCTCCGGAGGGGCAACAAAACCTTGCCGACAAATATTGTTTTTAGATCTCCGTAGGGGCAACAAAACCTTGCCGATAATTATTGTTTTTAGAGCTCCGTAGGGGCAACAAAACCTTGCCGACAAATATTGTTTTTAGATCTCCGTAGGGGCAACAAAACCTTGCCGATAAAAATAATGGTTAAACGGAGCGAGAAATGCTAAACGGTTTTGATTAATGCGGTCGTATAACCGTCGGTTAAACATTTTGACTCCGGCCTATTAGAAACCTGTGATGGTATTGTTCGACAGGTCAGCTATCAATTCCAAATGCCTTCTTTGTTAGTAAAACTTTCTACATCCAACCTATTATGCTGGTCATGGGGTGTCGAAGTCTCACCTTTAATGGTGTGGTATTACGCATGGTCTGATCCATGTATCTACCCAGGATAAAGATCTGATGTCTGCTAGGGTCAATACACATCTTGTGACATGACCTTGCGGTGGGACCACCCTGGAAGAAAGAAGAATAAAATAAAACATAATACTAGATATCAGAGATGTGTAACCAAAAGGGAGAAATCTTGATGTAAGAATACAAAATTTAGGACAAATTGTCAAACAAGTAAGAATTTAAAAGGCCACCCCCAAAAAAAGAAATAACAAAATGAGAAAAATAAAACCAAAAGATAAATTCAATAACAACTATCTGAAAATAACTGCAGCATAGAAAATAATATGCAATATCTGAAGTCCTAACAATAGTATTGACAAACACAGTGGTTATCAAATATCATCACTGGTACCTCTCTGGAACAATATATTCAACAAATATTGAAAAGAAAGAGTGTTACCTGTATTCTGAAATAATTATGACAAACACTAGGAGAAAATAGTGTAAGAGGACAAAGCTACTCAAATAATATGGTCAAACCTGTCTATAGCGACCGCCCAAGGGAATATAAAATTGTGGTCTTTGTAGACAGGTGGTCACTAAAGCAGGTTTGACTGTATGTATATACAATTACATACCTCTTCTTCAGTATTTTTGGAAAGACATGTCCATTCGTTGTCCTGGACGCTAAACACCCAGAAATCAGCCAGATCAGTAGTACCATCCCAACCACCAAATAAATAGATCATCTCTGTGAAAAGAAATTAACAAAACTTGTTAACATCATTGAACTGTTCAAGTCAAAATAGCTATGGCAATAAAGCATGAGAAATGTGGTATAAATCATGATTACTAGCAAAATGATGGATGAAATGACAGATCTTTTCTATCCACTTCAGATGTAAACTTTCTCAATTTGGAGGGCTTTGTCATTAATCACAATTGCGATTTAGCTATAACCTGATTGAGTGATCATAAACTCATAAAGCCATAACTACACTATTATTTGTTTGGGGCATGTAACTAGATGGAAGAATAGCTTGGAAAACACCATCTTGCAAGAAGGAACTGATAATATCAAGCAGTGGACATTTGAGCGGCTAACTACAACAGCGGAAGACAGAAAGTTAAGGAGAATCTGTGTCTCAAGGTCCATTTCAGTGTCGCCTAAACAGCCTCCAAGCTATGGGACATATATAGATAGATAGACACTACTATGATGATGATATGTCTTGTTTACCCAGGGTAGCCTCATCAGTATTCATACTGTTCTCCCTGAGGGCCCTGCAATCATATTATTACCCCGGTCATCGGATTCAGGCTTACCTGCACATAATGTATGCACATTCTCCACTCCCTGGGGAGCATTTCAGCCAGGCGTCATTTTTACAAACGCACACTTGCTGATCTAAGCACATTAGCTTTCGCATCCTACCGAGTACCCATTTAAAACTATACCAAACACAAATTTTACAATCACTTTTGTGTGCACTGACCATTCATTAAATTCAAGAATTAAATCTGAAATAAAATACAAAATCAGATATATTCCATGTATTTACCTGTATTAACATCCATACACATTTGATGACCACCCCGCATACCAGGTCTACTCTCATCCTCCCCAACAGTGAGGGGTGCTATAAGCTTCCAAAGGGGCTTGTAGTCTTGGTTAGCAATGTACATATTGAAGAGGCCGTCCTGGGAAGCCATGTCGATGATCTGTTCACATCTCTCAAAGTGTCCTTCTCTCACCTGAAGAGGAAAAAATGAAAGACAGATGTTAGCAACTCGCAAGGGATAATAATAATAATAGTGGGTTCTTGTAAAGCGCTCATGTCTGTCAAACTTGACACTCCTGGCACTCCCGATTATTACCCTGACTTTAGCTGTTAGCACGGCTGTCATTACGGCGCTTTGGCATTTCAAGGAATTAATTCCTGCCAGGTACCCATTTACATTTATCTTCAGAACTGGAGAGGGAACCAACCCCCATATAGTGACAAAATATTGACATGCACTCACACTCAGAGAACAGTGGTCTAATACAGTCAGAACAACCAGTGTGAGTGTGACAAATCCAAGTTAAATACCCTTAATAGTGCACCTTGGTACATACATGCAGGAGCATACCAACTCTCTGGCTATGTATGCCCTGTTTGCAAAAGATGGTTTCTCAACAGATACCTTCAGATACAAAGTGAAAGATGAATATATAAAATGATAAATCTATTACAGCCTTAAACACATTTGGCCATAGACTTTACTCACACATGATAGCATTGACAGATGCCAGTCGTGTCTCTTATTCTGAGACTCTTGTCAGACATCAAAATAAATACAAGGGTTTAATATCCCTCATATCCACAACAACATGCTACATCAAAACTGAATCTCACTTCCTTTTCCAAGCTTATTTCTAATGCACAAAATGTATGTACCATGCTTTTAGTCCAATCACATCATTCACACAATAAACCAGGGGGTGTTTCACAAAGCCTTTTTTCAATGACAAATGACAAAAATCAGTGACAAATCTGCTGATAACCAATCAGAAGCAAGGATTTCAGTAGCTTATAACAAACACTGTCATTTGTCACTGATGACAAGTTTTGTGAAACGCCCCCCAGAAGTCTGTATGCCACTTTGGATCACTCACCAGTTTACAATGCAACTCTGTCAGCAATGGATGCTCTAATTTGACCTTTGACCTCTTTTGCAAACTCTGGAAGGCTTCATTGTAGTTGTTCTGACGGAAGTGCTTTAGGCACAATCTGATGGCTTGGCTTTCTCGATACTGGGGATAGAAGGAAACAACATTTATGCCACAACAAGATTTATACATTTATACTCAGTATTCTGAACAGGCTAAATACTACCCACTGTTATCATATGTGTCAAAATCATTTAATATATCACTTAAGTAATTGAGTCTCACAGTAGAAACTGTATAATACAAAAGAAAAAAGAATATTTAATCAATGATTTTGTTTTAGTTTACAGATACATCCACCATCAAAATGTATTTTGCCTTGTATGCTCTTGAATATACAACTAACTAGTTTATAACAACTTTCTCAATTTAAAGGGATATTTCATTTAGCCACATGTTTCATTTTGCTGGTGCAAGTATACTGTGTCAAAAAGCAATGCAAACAAAATCAACCTCATACACATTGGAAAGTCATGTGCAGAGACGCCAAATTCATAGATCAGCAATGCATGACATTTTCATGACTCGTATAAGGTACAGCGTTTTTTTTAATCTAGCGCGCGCGTCATGCGTGAGAGCGTTTTCAGACCCAAGAAATGCGTGATGTCACACCTAATGCACGACACTTGGTAGCTCTGCAAGTGGCTAATTTCTTTGAATCAGGAAACAAAATGTTTTAGTATCTTGGCAATTGTTGAGCTTTGCTGCTCTCTTGGGCAAGTTTTACTCTGTGTAGTTTTATCAGAATGACACCCACCTCGTTATAACTTAGAAGGCAGGGTTGTACCATGTCTGGTTCAGCTATTCCTGTCAGTTCTACATACCAGATGCTGTAACTAAAGCAAGGTCCCCATGACTGCAGAGGCACTGTTCAAATACAAGGTCAAAGAAAGTAATATTTCACCCGAGACAAAGGCTAGCTGATTCAAAATGCTGTCAACCTAACCCTCATATATAACATTCAGACTATTGATAATTCACCATACATGTATTAAATTCATTTTAAATGGAGCTAAGGTATGATCATGCTTCTACATTTAAACATAAACCAGTGTTTTCTTTATTTTATTTACCGTATATTTTTCTTTTCAGTAAGGCTGCAACAAATGTCTGATTTTAAGAATTGTCTAAAAAGTTTGCCTCAGAGTTCAGTTAACATGCAAGTGATAACACAAAGGTGTATTCTCGACCACCACTGTTGCCAACTTACCAATCTTGATATAACGACAAGGCACTGGATTCCCATTCACGACATACTTGAGTGAAAAGCTCTCCTTCACATTATCATTTTTTAGGCCACTACGAAAGAGAAACAAACGACCAACACATTACATAATTAAATAGTGTATTAATCATATTTTAGGTACCGTAAATCTCTGTGTATAAGGTGCACCCCTATTTTGAAGACAAAAAAAATTATTTAAAAAAATTGCCAAAATGAAAACACACGCGGGGAAGGACTTTCATTTAACATCGAGGTGCAGTTGAAGACGCCGATTTGTGCTTGTGAACTTGTCACAAAAAAAGTAACAATGTCGTTTTTAGAAGAATGTGTAAGATCATTAATGTAAATTAAAAACAGTAGATTCCCTAGGATAAAACCTTGTGGTACGCCAAAGCAAAATTGGAGGAATTATTATTATAAACTACATATTGAGATCTATTAGAAAGATTACTTTCAAACCAAGATGACAGACAAATTTGAGTGTTGTTCTAGTTTCTGAGTGGTGAGTCAACACACTGATTACTGAGCTGGGAGACATTGCCAGGCATAGCGGCATAAATCGAAACTAAAACAAAAAACGCACCCCCGACTTTCAATTTTTTTCGGCGGCAAAAAAGTGTGCCTTATACACAGAGATTTACGGTATACTAAATACAGTCAATACATACGCTTTCGTGACCACCTGTCTACTCTACAACAAGCATTTTTTTCCCCCCTTGAAAATGGTTTCTCATTGAAACATGTACTAAAGGAACCTGTCTACAAAGACCACTTTTTGTGTTTCCCTTGGGCAGTCGCTATAGACAGGTTTGACTGTACACCAATCACTATATCTATTATCCATCTCAATGTTTCTCCTAACAGTACATTCTTTGAAGGCTATACAATGATCATAAGCCTAACCAGCAGGACCGGGGAGCACAAACACCATTGGCAATTTTAGTTTTGTTTTTTAAATCATTAATAAATTCTATCACTCTCTACGATTTTATTTGGGAGCACTTCACATTTTTGATAGATATTGTGCTGAGTATTTAATGGGATCATAAATCATCAGGAAAAAAATACATGAGGGCTCGGGGCAAATTCGCCCCCGAAATGCCAAAAAGAGCCCCCCAAAATGTGCATAGAGTTCAATGCTAAACAAATTAAAAAGTGTTATTTACATGCAAACAAGCTTGAAATGTAGCCCCAAAAATTGTTTAAATATTTTGTTCCCCTGTAAATTATTACCTTGATGCGAGTTCAACCATGTGGTCTACTGTCAGTCCTCCGCAGATGATGAACTTTCTCAGATTACAAACATGGGTTTTCTCATACTTCCCAAAGGTGATACTGTCCACCAAGGAGCATGACTCTAGCTTGAGGATGATGTACTGCTCATAAACATAATGAAAACAAAGGGGAAAATGTATCAAATTCTTAAATTCAGAGAGAATGGAGTCAGTCAGATAAGTGCACTGAAGTCGACATCGTCAATATATAATGTTTACATAACAACATGTCATTATTAACCAAAAGTTTGAGTAGCTTAAGCCCCTCCGCTAAAAAAGAGCTTTAACTTTTTAATTATCATCATGATCCCAACTGATCTTAACAATGTAGGTAACAGGTTATTTTTTTAACCAAGAACTTGAGACCAAAGCCTGCATTCCTTGGAGGTCACATTCCAAAGAGATACTGGTGTAAGTCACTATAATTGTGTTGGCAGAAGTATGCATGACTATGATTGCTACACAATCATGTTCAGGCACATTAACCTCAGAAATATCTTCATACATGTATATATTCAATTGTTCGTCAATCATTAATGAACCTAGCAAGAAAATTTTGTGAATAGATCAGCAAAAACATGGAACAATCTAGTGAAACATATTTGTAAAATTAATCAATTTGGCCCAGGATTCCTATAGAGTAATAAAGTTGACATTTCATTGATTATGCAGGTGTCATTTGTAAGACGCACCTTTTGACCCCCGGGGATGGTGCGTCATGGTTGCGTCATGTTCCCCAAAATCGCGACGCACAGTACCGTCATGGCCGCAAAATGTCTGTCACAATACTGACCCATATGTGCGTCATAGTAAGTCACTTTACCACGTTGCGTCATTTGGTGTGTCAATGGGACCGTCACTTTCTCCAAGCAGAAGTGTTTCTCAAATGTGCGTCATTGGCTAGTCATTTTCATGAAATGGTGTGTCATATGTTTGACTCAAATGTGCGTCGATGGAATGTAATGGTGTGTCACTTTCTGTGACGGAAGGTGCGTCATGGTATCAAAATGTACGACTCATATCGGTACAATGACGCACCATTCCCGGGGGTCAAGAGGTGCGTCTTACAAATGACAAGTGCATTAGGAGAAATCACCTACCTGGGGTGTACAGTTGTTGTCTGATGACCATCTTGAAGACTGATCGTTCGGGTTATCTTGCAATATATTTCTACGAAAAAAGATACAAATTAAATAAATTATCTTACTGGAAATGAAATGAGTACCTAAAGGAAAAGATGTCATTACATACAATTTGCTGAAGTTCCATAGTTTTTCATACTTTTCCTTATAAGTTACCGGTATCCAATTCACTAAATTTGTTTTTGCTGTGTTTCTCTTGTTTTTCTGCATCTATTAAAAGCATATTATTTTTGGATTGGACTAGGCCTTTAAACTCTATGGGGAAGGCAGGTGAAGGAAAGAGAAAAGACCCAACTTCAAGGAGACAAACAAAATGAGTGAAGTGAAAGGATTACAGGTGACTACATGTAATTCTAGGAAAACAAGCAAGTGAAGCAACAGACACAATTTAGCACGGTCCGAGCAAGGTCCGAGTTAGCCTGCAATGAGTACGGACGTGCATTAGCTTTCAGCTCTTCCGGTTTTTTTTATTTGACCACCGCCTGTTCTAAAATGTGATTTATTTCAACGCGAACTATTCCGACCTGGTTTCCTTATGCGCTGTCATTATTGAGTAAGTGGAAATTAATTGTTGTTCAACCGATTATACCACTTAAACTGATCCTACTTCACACGAATTCAAAATGGCTACTGGTGTAGCTGGAGTCACCACCCGGCCGCGGACACGTAACCGAGATACCACCCACAGCCCGCCAGACAACTCGGGCAAGGCATTTCCCGCTTTGCCCCAGCCCCAGTCTGAGCACCCAACGAACAGTGACATTCAAAAGTCAATTCAAGACCTCGCATCTATGATGTGTGGCAAAATCGATACGCTAACACGAGAAGTGAGTGGACTCAGTGACAAACTAACGAATTTGGAACAAAGTGTTGAATTTAACTCTAACAAACTGCACGATATTGAAACGACCGAGCTGCCAATTCTAAAAGCAAAAATGAAGGAAGAGATACAAAAAATGGAGGACAAAATGTTGTCACTAGAGATTTACAATAGAAAGCAAAACCTTCTCTTATATGGAGTACACGAGACCGAGCAGAGTGAGGATACGTATATCATCGTTCGTAAAGCATTTAAAGAGCTCGGAATGGAGAATGCCAGAGCAGAAACTATCCCGCTAATCAACGCCCACCGATTGCCCCGCCGTCTACCACAGGATCAGAACACCCAGCCCCGATCACCGACCCCCATCATTGCCCGATTTGCCGTCATGGCCGACCGCGATCACGTCCTATCACTCTTCCAGCGCCAACTACGCAGCCGCACCCTAGTAGCCGGACCAGGAGGTATCCAGCCAACGCCCACCCCACCTGCCCAAGCGAGCCGTATCACTGTCAGGACGGACCTACCGCCTGTCCTGAAACAACGACGCGGCATTTTAGCTAACGAAGCCTACAAGCTCCGAAAGGAACGAGGTCTATCCACCAGGATAATTGTTCAAGGCACCTCTGTGATCTTACAATGGAAAAACAAAGGCACCAACAAATGGAATAATCAACAGGAATGATACCTATCAAAACAACAAAATATGTAAGCATGAACTACGTATTTATTCTACGATAAAATACGTTTTTTTTTTTTTCTTTTTTTTTTTTTTTTTTTTTTTTTCTTCTTCGCTGTATTATATTTCTCTCTGTTCAACATTACAGACTCTAATTTATACCGAAAGAGAAAAAAATTGAGAAGAAGGGAAGAATATTATGTGAGAAATAATGACTTTACATACAAAGAAGGAACAATGATCAAATTATACATTTGATTGAACATTTATTTTAGACTCTTTAAGTTCGCTCATTAAAACCTTTACATAGCATTTTAAAGAAATATGTAATGGACATGCTTCAACATAAACCGAAATAGAACTCTGTATGGACACACCGACTTTCAACTTCGGTTATTTATGTCTCGCCCTTGCATATGATATGAATTATACGCTTTGAAAATCGAATGTATATAGTACAATGCATGTTAAAATCATTGTGGACTTACGCATATATTTAAGTACATGTATATTTTGTTTTTCTTGACGCAAAAATGTCAAGATATTTTTTTTTTTTTTTTTTTTTTTTTTTTTTTTTTATTTTGTTCATATTATATATATATATAGATTTTTTTTTTCTTCCTCTTTGTATCTTTAATTGTTTGTTGTCACTTCCGCAATATTTTCAATCATGGAATTTAAAAGAAAAAAAAAACTGTGACCACTATACAGACTTGAAATACTAGTAGAAATTGAAAGTGTTGTACTATGGCACATTTACTTGTTTTATTTCATGGATATTTTGTACTCGCCATGATGCTTTGTATTTTGTTCATATATAATTATATATATATATATATATATATATATATATTTTTTTTTTTCCCCTCTCTATATTTATAATTGTTTGTTGACACTTCCGCAATATTTTTTAATGATGGAATTTTTTTTTGTAATTATGTGACCACTATACAAACTCGAAAGACTTAGTAGAAACCAAAAATGTTGCACTGTGGTACATTTACTTGTTTAATTTAATGGATGTGTACTAGCCATGATGTTATGCATGTATTTTCCTCATGTTATCGACATTGATATGAATTTTGCCAGTTGCAATTTTTTTTTAATTTTTATTTTTTTTAATTTTTTTTTTTAATTTTTTAATTTTGTTTGTAATAAATATTTTGCTATGCTAATTAACGACATTCTCTTCGGGGACTTGCCTGCGGCTTGGTATGCATGGCTGGAGCTTGTGCTCTATACGATTTGTAAAGCGCATCGGTTCCTTTTGTCGTGCTTCCCGGGTCGTGTGTGCGTTTTCGGGGTGAGTGCCCTTTACCCACAACAGAACACATGCTTTCTTAATGTTAACACTTTAGAATTTCCGTTTTTTTTTTTAAATTCTATTCCCTACTTCTGTTATGTTATGTCATTATAAACACATTTATATTGGAAGGATTGATCTTAAACAATTTTATCTTAATTGTTAACAATTCCCTTTTTACAGATTAAGACTCTAGATTGCGATCTGTTCCTCTTTGTATTGTCTTTGTTATTATTTGTTTAAGAACTGCCCACATGTATTGAGGTTAACTGCGTGGTAATTCGCAGGTGTAACATTCTTATTATTAAATAAAGTTGAATAAAAATACATTGTTAGTTGTGTCGATACGATTCATTGTAATATAAATTCCTTGCTGTTTACCATCAATACTGTTGTAGCATATGAATGACAGACGCTGATCCATTTCTTTGGAGCCTCGTAACCTATACACTCTTGCACATTTAAATGATCTATTCTAACCTGCATTCCTCTTACCTGTCCCTGTATATACCCACACATATTTGCCTTTAATACTGTACGTTCTCTTATGTTTAACTATCCCCCCCCCCTTTTTTTTTTCTTTTTTTTTCTTTTTTTTTTTCTTCCTGAACTGGCGGTGGTCAGTACTAAACCGGAACCGCCACCAATGGCTGCAATTCGCTGTTCCGTTCATTCACTCACCATTCTTTGTATTATTTTAGCACTTGCACAAGTCACTGCACATGCACCCACGGTGAAACGATTGTTTATATTGAGACTAGTACGAAGTGAAAAAATTTACATGCTTAACGTTACATATCAAACAGAATATATTATTCTACATCATATTCAAATCATTACATGGGCCCATTTCTCAATTATTTTATTTGATAATTGTAGGCCAATATTGAATTTGGTCATATGAATTTTGATTTAGAAATTAACCAAGATGCAGGGCGCGACAAACCCGCTTGCCCGACGTCCCGGGGCAACCAAATTGAGCCGTCGGGCAAGTAAATCAAATTATCACTTGCCCGATTCGGGCAAGTGATACTTTACAGTAATTTCCTAGTGTCCAAGAACTCTACCATTCACCCGTCAACTTCTTACCCGTCGTCAAAATCCAGAAGCAAAAAAGCGATCGTTCCGATTTCGAAAAAACTTCACAGACAGCTAGCCAGCTCAGCTAGCTCAGCGCGCATGCAACAGTGACACTTCAAGCCATGAATGCCGCTCCGCCTCCACGCACGGCCGGCCGTGAGCTAGCTAGAGACAGCTAGCGCGATCGTACCAGCTGCGAGCTTATTCGCGCTCTCTCTCTCTAGCTCTGCAGGCCGCACCGACAGGCCTTTGCTATTCTCTGATTGCCGATTGGTTGAATCACGCCAAATATGACGTCATTATTCTAGGGAAATGAACACGTGCGAATCGGAATGGAATAAACAACAGGGATTTTCTAGTAAGTACAAAAAGTCAAATGTTTGATATTTATTCATAATGACTGTTAATGATTGTGAACATATTATTTAAAACTCGCTGCTCATATAAATCAGATGAATGTTTTTGTCTCGTTTTCAATTTATTACTGCGGTCTCAAGATCCGACCGAGCGAGTCATTTTGATAATAGTATCGAGACCCCCAGAATATAAGCCGTTGTTGTTTTGTTTTCATGGTTTTAGCGACGTTGTTTAGTCTAGTTTTCGCATACTTATCCGAGATTTATCGTAAAATATCTTCAATATTATTATTTAGTAAGAATTTACAAATTTTGGCATGATATTTATAGCAGTGAATGATGAAATAAAAATGTCCGTACTTTATTTAAAATAGTTGATTACCCATTATTTACATGACGTTTCTTGATGGAAGAGTTGACCCAAATTATTAACAGCTGAAAATTAGCCTACGTTTCCAAATGACAGCGGCTTGCACAGACACACATGTGATGTTGCACCATGGTACATGTGGCTACCATTAATGACATGTTTGTATCATATTTTTTACAACAGGGTCATTATGCTTTTTTACATGACTGAATATTAAAAACTTAAACCTGCTTGAACCATTCTACATGTACCTTGCCGAGATTCATGTGAATCTGATTATTTATGGAGAATCAATAAAATGCGTTTTTTAAACCTTCAACCATCCTTTGTTGACCATTTTCTTTGACATATTAGGTTATTATTCAGTACAGTTACACTGTACATGTATGTGCATTAATTTGCTATCTAAAACACTAACTT